CACAAACACACACACACACAACACACACACACACACACGCGCACACACACACACACACCCGCGCGCACACACACACACACACACACACACCCGCGCACACACACACACGCACACACGCACACACCCACCCGCACGCACGCACACACACACACACACACACACACACCCACGCACACACACACACACACACACACACACACACCGAACCCCTAAATGCTACACACGCACACACACACATGACGAAATGACAAGAACGGACCAGCAGTCCTGTGGGAATAGCTGAGCTTCTTCACAAGCACAGGGTGACATACAAAGCGCGGGATAAACTCGGGCTCTCTAGAAGGGACCATGACTTTGACAGTTGCCTACATATCCTTGGGTTCCATTCTGATACCCCAACGTGAAAGGAACGTGCAAGGCGCAGCTTCATAACTGGCATCGTAACAAAGTCCCTAATTTTGCGAATAAACGTATCTGGAGGGACAGCCGTTTGGATCCACTTTTTCTTTTGGTAGGGCGGGCGGGACTTCTTAAGTTGCTTCCTGTTAGAGATAACTGGGGTCAGTCTACAGCTTACAGAAGTTTAGTTCATACGTCTCCCCGAACCTAAACCCTCAACCCTCAATCCTATATACGGACTATGCCTCCCCAAACCCTGAACCCGAAATCTAAACCCCAAATCCTAAACCCCAATCCATGAAGCCCCTAGAAGCTGAACTTAACCGGCTGCTGAGCGAGCCACCGACACTAGGCCAATCTCTTCTTCGGGCACGTCATGCCGGAAGCGCGACTCCTGAAGTCTCTTGGGATCCCAAGGTCGTTTCATCGGTTTGTTTGATAGGGAGATTAGCCCAACAATCCAGAATCAGATGCAAAAGAAAATTGAACATGCAATAGAAACCAGGACTATTCCGTGGTTTAGGGGAGTTCAGGGTTTGTGGCTTAATCTGCGTCCTAGCCATGGGCTGGAAATCTAAAGACCCCCACCTCTCTGCCTGGGTCCCTTCATTGGGCACGTCCCGAGGATTAAACGCCCATACTAGGGGCCATAGTTCAAACCCTAGAGGGGTAGATCGGATTTAGGGTCTAAGGGTGTAGGGCTCAAGGTTTTAGGGATTAGGAAGGGTTACCTTGAGCAATAATGACCCATATGATGTATGGATATATGCGTACTAAGGCTTACTACATCTTACTACCAAATGGATGGGAGTCATTCCGGCTTACAGGCATCATGCTCAAAGCTAGTTAGGGGTAGACAAAGCGCAGTCTCGTAGGGATCATACAAAAATGCTGTTGGCATTTCTTCTGGCACCAACTTGTAAGTGGGTCCAGGATAGTCATAACCCACATGGTACACACCTATATTTGCAACTTGTGGACCGTAAATCTAGGTTGCCCATATAATTTCTAATTAGGTTCTAGCTTAGCCACCGAACTCCCTAAACCCTAAACTCTAATCTCTAAACCCTAATCTCTAAACCACCCCCAAGATCGAATTCCCTAAAGTGGGCGGGGGGGGGGTTTGGGTTGACCTGGACCTCCAAGGACAGTAGAACTCCCTAAGGCCCGGATCCTTGACCCCCTACTTGGAGGTCCATTGTAATT